ATATATATATATATATATAGAGAGAGAGAGAGAGAGAGAGAGAGAGTCAGGTTTTTAAAAAGTACTTAGTAAAATAGATACAATGTATTAAATATTAGGTATCCATATGGAAGTTTAAAATTGTCTTCATATTCAATGTACATGAGCATGTGTAACTATTTCTCATTTGAAGTAGAAGGAAACTTCTTTTCCTTTAAGTGGTCAACTATTTAAAAAAGATGGTTTGAGGACCACAATGAAGGATCTGTCAGTGAGGGGTTGGGAGCTGTGGATTTTATTTAATTTTGTCTCCAAGCTATGAGACCATAAAACACAGGAATCTTGTGCCAATTTTTTTTTCAGTTGGCATTTCCTGTTGTCATCCTAAGAAGACTGACTACATTTGATCTGATTTTACCTCCACAGAATAAACCAGTGACTGTCTGGTGTAATGAGTATTGACACCCAAAGCTTGAAACGATTTAAAAACAAATCTCTCACTTTTATGTCACCAAATCATTGGTTTCAAAATGGTATATAATGAAGCAAGTTGGAGGTAGTATGAGGGAAGTTGAGTTCTCTCGATGTGATTGTTTCTTAAATCCTGAGTTTGTGGCAAATTTTCCACCAGAAAAATTGACTTGGGAGAGTTTGTTCTGGGTATATATTGTTCAAAAACAAACACTTTTTGTCTGTAACAATAACAACAAAAATATGTGTTCAGTCAATGGCTGTCAGCTCCCTTCAGGCGAAGTGTTTAAGGCTCACTGTCACTTTCACATTTGCAGCATTTTAATTAGTGATGCTTACAAACTCAGTGCCTCTCTACCTTCACCTAGAGATGACCGTTTCTATGTTGCAGAAGACAGCTATCCTAGATGAAAAGAACTGAGCGTCTCAGTCAAAGGACTGAAATTCATGAAATGAGTTTAAAACCTCAGGGATTACAGTGAAAGATTCAATTTGCATTGAGCTGATATAGACATCCCAATGTCAGTGGCTCAATTTCCATATGCAATATTGATGAATGTGATCACAGTTGCCATTCAAGAGTTTTCCTGTGTGACAATTTCACTGTACAGATGTTATTTTTAAAGCTGTGGAAATTTAGATTTGTAAGGTAAAGGTAGCATACCTAGAAAATGAAGATTAAAGCCCAAGTCTCATTGGAACATTATCTGATGACATTTGCATATTCTGTGACCACACCACCTGTCTAAAAAGAAAACCTTCTCAAATACAATAACAAAATGAAGTGAAAAAGACCACACAACTGATGCACAAAGATACAGAACCCCAGAAAAATAGTTTTTATCAAAATAGAAGGAGAAGGAGAAAAGTAAGAAGGAACAAAGGAAGGAACAGGATTCAGAAGTCAGCATACACAACACAAAGTGTTTTCAAACAATTTGAGAAGCAGCACAGAAGCCCCAAAGACAGGATTTTTGTGACAATGCTAAGGGAAAAAGGAGCAAGAGGATTTGCTTGTATGCATGTTAAGTTCTAACAGTTTCCCTTAAGGAGCACGTATTACTGTCTCTTTTGATCAGTAAGTCAATGTTTCAATGGTGTTATCTCTGCCTTCCTTGTGGCTTTTCATACTCAGTTTTGAAACTGAAGTATTTTTACAGACATATTGGAAGATGCTCTTCTCACTTGACTGGTCATTTAATCTGCCTGGAAGCTGTCGGTCTGTCTGCTGGGCAAGGCTCTCATGCAGATTGAAAGCCAGGGAACACCAAGAATGAGGCCTGTGTCTCAGTACAAATTAACTTACATAATAGCCCTGTCAATCTACCCTTTCCTCAAATTCCATTTTATTGGTGTATACTAAACTGGATGAGCCTCTGGGTCTGTTTCATTTCCACTCTTCAGTTATCTTACTTATCTAGGTTTGTTCAGATTCCAAAAAAAGTGCTACATTTAATTGCCTACCATAGGAATTTGAAGAACATTTCTCCCACCAGTGGGAAAGACACATGATTTGGGCAGACAGTTCGCTGTTGAATACAACAATTAAGAAGCCAGATCAAGGAGCAAATGAAGATCTCTGTGTTACAGACATGTGTTATGTGGTCAAAAGGGTTAATTCCCCTAGAGGTGAGGAAATCAAGACAGTTTCACAAGGATATGAACTGGTTGGACTCCCAAAGCTGAACCAGAACTAGGTCATTTCAAGCCAAGGAAAGTATGTAAGCTTATTTGACAACAGGAACTTAATCTCATTGTATAATTCTGGGTGATTTTTAGTGGCTGTCTTAAGCACTTCCTTGAGATTAATCTCAAAATTTTGTACGACCGTAATCAATTATACTTGTCTGCCATGGTTAAAATAATGCAGATGAATCTGTGTTAATTGCTACATTCAAATAATTCAAAGGACATAATGAACTAAATGCACTAGGTTCAAATGAAATGCAAAGGAAGTTTCACAAAGTTGGTGTGGCAAATTGGTTAGCAAAGTGAATTTAGGGGCAAATTTGAAGATGTTACATGTCATACTAAGGGAAATATACAATGGGAAAATATTCGTTAATGCATATGTTAGCCACTATGTAATGTGAAAGTCTACTTGAAAAAACTTGTCTGGCTTAAGTTGATACAGATTCCATTTACACAATTTAGACACTGCCAGTCTTGATTTCCCAAAGGTCAACAATGTATTTCTCCCTACTACATATTGCCTGGTATGCAGTCTGTATTTACTTTAAAAATGCATGCTACCCACATGACGTTAGTAGGAATGACAGAACAAATACCAGATATCTGGAAGGTAAGAGCTTGTGCTGTAAGAACAGTGGTCTAGGTGAAGATATTGTGGAGACACGAGAGCAAAGATAGGTTTTGGAGGTCAAACAAGATGACCATTTGCAAAAACTGCAAGGAGTGATGAAGTCTCATTCAAAGAAATGAAAATATTCAACAGGGGAACAGAAGAGCAACTGATATTGCCATATCCCTGTCTAACAATCCCTGTGTGCCCATGGCACAGTGGACTACATACTAGCACTTGGGCACAGAATTTACTGGTGCTTCTAATCCGATTATTGTGGTATATTAGAATATAAGTTTGAGCTATTTGCTGAACACTCTTATCTAGCGGCATCTGTTCTGCCAAAAGAATTTAAGGTGTGACTTTGGTGTGCAGGCATGACCCCTCATAAGGAAGAGGAGGGGCTCAGTCAAGATCTCTTGAGTCATGGTCAGAGCATCCTGCAGGGCAGATGCTGTCCCTCCAGGAGCAGAAGACCACTGTGGTTATTTACCATCATTGTGTGAGTGCTCCCCAAATAAATATCTATTAATTCTTTATTTGGGTGTTCTTGTACTTACTTTAACCCTCCTTCACTCTTAATATGAAATACTGACAATAATGGTTCAAGGAATTCAAGATGTGTCTTGGGTGATCTACTATCAATGGAAATGAGACACCAAGGAAAAAGCAAGTCTAATGAAAAGTATGTTATCATAATAGTTAACTTGTTTCCAGCCCTCAATTATCTTTCCTGGGTTGTCACAATAAAATACTATAGTTAGTTGTGTGATGGTAGGAAAAATATTTAAGCTCTCCCTACCTCACACTTCTCGTAGGTAAAACACAGACCTACCTTGAGAATGCTTATACCTTAGAGGTTCCTGAGAAGTTGGAGTGGATTTAAATCACCAACAACAGTGCTTCAGATTTTCTGTTTGTTATCGTTTTTTTGTTTTGTTTTGTTTTTTTAGTATTGCAATTACTTTGCAAATGGTATTTCTTCCTCCCAATTGCTCCATATTCTGGCAAAATTTCACCCAATTATAGCACTGTATTTGAATGCAGCTGTCATACACTGAAATATATACACTTGTTGTACAATTCTCAGTATTATAAAGGATTCATAGATGAGTGCTCAAGTTTTCCAGCCTTAAAGATAAGGCTCTTCTTACCTATTCAACTGTCATGGCACATAGTCTCCTACTCTTCTTGGATCCTGCTGTGTATCCTCACTTCAGCCATACCCAGCTACTTTTCAGAGTATCTAAGAGGCTTCCCAGGTTAGACAGTCAAAAAGATATTCAGAGAGTGAAGTGATATCTCCAAGGATGTCCTCAGACTCCTAACCCTTCACATTTTCATCATCCCTTTCTGCTGCAGCACTTGAGAGATGTCCTTATACCAAAAAGATGCCTTTACATTGTCTGTCTCTGGCACTTGACTGAGATTTGAGGGCATCTTAACTCATTCATCTTTTAATTATCTGCACCTGGTCCTAAGTAGGAAACAACATGAGATTTAATGCATGCTGATGAAACTGGGTAGTCCTGCAGATGTATTTGTATATGCACTTGTTTATACATTAATAAGACACTGATTTCTCACGGATTAATCAAACTAAACACTGTCATGGCTAAGGACTCAACATAATGCCTTAGCACTTAATGAGATACACTTACAGTGAAATTTTCCAAGGTAATGACAAGCGAGACAAGGTTGTATGCTCCAAGAGATTCCTCCTTCACACGGTAATACACACCCACCATTTCTATTTCACATATCACAAACAAAATAACAAAGATCACAAACAAAAATTTCTGAAAAAATATAAATGGAAGAATGATTTTTCTTGTTCTTTTGCTTTGTTCATTAATATAAATAAGTTTAGTGTTGTATGCTTGTATAATTAGCAGCATTTCCTCACACATACGGTTCATGCTATTAGAATTTTACTACAATCCAATAAGAGAGATGAGTTAAAGATTTATGGAGAGGAAATCATAGTTTACTGCTTTTACTGACAGGTAGTAGGAATGAAAATGGACAGGGAAGACTCTATATAGGTATCAAAATGATACTAATGAAAGGCAATTGTAATAAATTAGCATTTCTCTCTTGACTGACTCTGGAGGCACGAACAAATTTACCAGGACAGGTAGAAAACTAGAGTGGGAATGGCCCTGCTATAATTTTTGAAAAAAGAGAAAAATAGGAAACTACAGGTACAGTCATTTTCAAAGATCCTGTACATACTAAGGGGTAGGGGACAGAACATGTTCCAGACTTTCTGTCTACAACTTATAGATTGACCCAAATGATTTCCAAAACTGCAATTACACACCTGGCCTTGATGACAACTTAATAATTGGTGTTAGCTTGTTCTAATCATGAGTGCCCTTACCCAAATGCCCTCCACACATCACTGCAAGACATGATTTACAGAAAAAAATAGACAAACCATGCCTTGTGGAATAAACCTGCTAGTCACAAGCCTGGTGGATGTGTTGAGACCTCATCTCCAAACAAGACAACAAAAGGACCAGACTCATCCACAGCATAGGAAGTTTAGCATCTCCATCTACTCCTCCTCTATTCTTCACACACCTTCCCTCCCCCCTCTTCTTTCTCCTTCTCTCCTTTTTGTACTTTTTTTTGTAAAATGTTTCCTTTCCTTATTCAATAGTCTTGGCCAGTAATTCAAACCAAAGGAAAACATAAATGGTCCTTCAGCATTAAGCCCCCTGGACTTCAGTGATTTATAGTCTCTTTCTTCAGCAATATTTGCTACAAAGCTACTGAAAGTAATATTTAGAGGAACTGGATATTTTCCACAATATCACCTCCTAACCCTCAGAGCATTTCCTTGATATCCATCAGCAGTTCATAAACACTTTAACACTTTATGAACAATATGTTGACTTCCCTTTGCAATGGCAAAGCAAAACATATAAAAATAAACTTTCACTGAAGAGGACGATAATGTCTCCCCAAATGAAACTTGGTGATAAACCAAATAAAATAGGCAGAAAAAAATGGAAGTTGGTTTTTGCTTGTTTTCCCATACTCCACTCCAAATTTGTACACTGGGAAGATTTACTTCCTTTATTTACTTCAGTCTCTGAAAAGAGGAAGCCGGTGATGTTTCCATAGGTCTATGTTTACTGTCTTAACTGAAGATGATGGTTATTGTCATTGATATTTTATAGGAAACCAATGTAGAATTATCTGGAATATTTGAAATTGAATACAAACTTATAATCCAGAAATAATGCTTTAAATGTGTATGCTTCCTAAATTAAAAAGGATAATTTACTTAGTGATGGCTCTTTGAAAGGATGTTGATTTAATATAGTGTTTTTCTTTTGCAGGCTGTAGTCATGCATATAGTTACATTGCTTTTCTTTTTGTCTATGCACCATCTGTGTGATATAATATTTTAATCAACTCCCTTCTTCAAAATGTAAAATAAACATTTGTTTAAAAGGGAACCTTATATCCATACCTAGAAATAGGAATGTTATTTTTACTTACCACACTACAAGGTAAACTTGGAAATAGACTGAATGAATGCAAAACACTGTTTTTAGATTCAAACAAGACACTTGGAGTCTGCTTGAGGCTCTGATAAAAAGGCAGCAGCATTCTTCTTGTTAGAGGCATCAGCCCGGGAAGGAATAAAAACATTCTCTTTTGACAAAAAATCATAAACATAATCGAAAGTGAGTAATTTAACACCTACTTATTTAATAGAGCTAGGATCTGTGTCACATCAGAAATCATAGCACCAAGGACAGTACTTGACTCATGCCAGATGTTGGGCTCTCCTAAGAAGTTTGTCAGATATAAACCATAGATAGAAATGACAGTAGTTGCCTTTCCCTGCTGCCCTGGTACAGGTCCATATGGAGTTGTTCGTGATTCCCACCGTAACTTAAAGGGAAACTTACACAACTTTCAGAGCCCTCGATGTCCTGCAGATGAAGGATGTCCTCAAATTCCTTGCTGCAGGAACCCACTTAGGTGGCACTGACCTTTACTTCCAGATGGAGCAGTACATCTACAAAAGGAAAAGTGATGGTACCTCATTATAATCTGAAGAGGACATGGGAGAAGCTGGTGCTGGCAGCCTGGGCCATCGTTGCCATTGAGAATCCTTCTGATGTCAGAGTTATCTCCTCCAGGGGCACTGGGCAGCAAGCTGTACTGAAGTTTGCTGCTGCCACCAAAGCCACTACAATTGCTGGCCTTTTCACTCCTGGCACCTTCACCAACCAGATCCAAGCAGCCTTCCGGGAGCCACAGCTTCTAATGGTCACTGAGCCCAGGGCTGACCACCAGCCCCTCAAAGAGGCGTCTTACGTCAACCTGCCCACCATTGCTCTGTGTATCACAGACTCTCCTCTGTGCTATATGGACAGTGCCATCCCATGCAACAACAAGGGAGCTCACTCAGTGGGTCTGATGTGGATGCTGGCCTGGGAAGTACTCCGCATGTGTGGCCCTATCTCCCGTGAGCACCCATGGGAGGTAATGCCGGACCTTTACTTCTACAGAGACCCAGAGGAGGTTGAGAAAGAGGGGCAGGCTGCTGCCGAGAAGGCTGTGACCAAGGAGGAAATTCAGGGCGAAAGGACGGCGACAGCGCCTGAGTTCACTGCTGCTCAGTCAGAGGTGGCTGACTGGTCTGAGGTTGTGCGGCTGCCCTCTGTACCCATCCAGCAGTTTCCTACTGAAGACTGGAGGGCCCAGCTAGCCACTGAGGACTGGTCAGCAGCTCCCACAGTGCAGGCCACTGAGTGGGGTGGAGCCACCACTGAGTGGTCCTGAACTGCTCTGCAGACACCGGAGCAAAGGGAAAAAGGTGAAAGGAAAATAAAGTCCCTACAAGCTGGAAAAAAAAAAGGAAAAAGAAATGACAGTATTTTCTTAACAGATGCAGCATTTAAGGAAATCAGCATTGCTTGCTTGTATGCTTGCTTGGCAAATGGCAGGTGGTTACACCTGTATCTCCAAATGTTTGCATGGGACAAACAGAAGACTTCTTGCAAAACACTAGCACAGGATTACTCAGTTCATTCAAATTATCAGTGACTATGCACACTTACATTTCCATTTTACCTATACCACAAACACAAAGACGTCTCCATTCAATTAAGCCTCCATCACTATGCTTCATATCTTTCTTCTTCACACAGGAACTGTATCTTGTAATTCAAGCTTTGCCTGAAATCTGAGTTTAATGTTATTCTTAGGAAATAATAACCATTATTTTGATAAACTACTTAAGTCCATCATAATGTGAATTTCATTATCAAAAAAGTAAACCTATGGATAGATAGATGATAGATAGATAGATAGATAGATAGATAGATAGACAGACAGACAATTTTCGGGAAGCTGTTTTTTCGAGGCTGCAGTCCGAGCCAGCCAGGCAGCCCATGGTTGGTTCGTCTCTAAGACGGTGAATGTTGATTAAGAAAGGATAGCTAACCTCTCCACATGGAGGGATGCTCCCTCAGCCTGGACACACTGGAGAGGGTCTAGGCCCTGATACAAATGATATGACAGTCTTGGAAGATCCCCCATGGAAGGCCTCTGCCTCCCTGGGGAGCAGAAAGGGGTTGGGACAGGGGATCAGTAGGGGACAGGGGAGGAGGGGAGAGAGAGGGAACTAAGATTGACATGTCAAAGAAGCTTTTCCTAACTTCAATTTAAAAAAAAAGAAAAAAAGAAAGGCTAGCTAAAAGACATTAAAGGAAAAGAGGGAGATACAGAACAGATGTCAGGAGGGCATATTCAGTTAATACTGAATGTGCCCCTAGTTATTCTTCACCATTTTTATATACCTTAACCAAAAGTTGGACATGGTATCACATATACAGAACAAACAGACTTTTCTTCCTCATTTCTCCAAGGATTCAGTAAGCACACCTTAGATTCAACTTCTCCTTACCTGGCCTTGAGGGTCAGAAGTAACCACACTCAGACCAGGTCTGTTCTTATTTAGATAAGACACCCAAAGTCAAGATTAACCATCTTACTGTAGCCATGCCTTTGAACTATAGGTATCATGAGTTACTGAGGACAGTTTTGAATTCTCTGCCCTTGAGCCAAGATGGAATGAAGCCATCTTTATGGGCACCAACAATAGATAGATATAGACTGTCATATAGGAAGATAGACAGATAGAAAGACAAACAGATGACAAATGGATGGAGCAAAGTTCTTAAGGAAACTTCAAGACATGTGGCTTGAAGTTCCTGAGGACTGATAAACTGATTTCATGACAGAGAACTAGTTAAACACAACAGATTGAAGGTTAAATTATTATGGACTAACTTTAGTTACCTTCGTAACTATTTACTTCCAACTTTTGTATCTTAACTTACATCCTTTTTACTGTTAGACAAATCTTTTGAAATATGTGATGTACTCTATCACTCTACAGCCAATGGTGTTCTAACATATGAGACTTATAGAACAAAGTTCACAGTTAGGCAGGGTCATAGGTGGAAAGTGAGGTGCAGAAGGCATAATGAAAACATTGCCAAGTTGGTATATGAGAAAAGTGAATTGACTGAATACCTTAGTGGGGTCATCTAAAAGCAGTTCATGACTTGCCAGAATGCGCAGAAGTAGCATGTAGCTCACTTTAATACAAGTCCATACATCTCTGAGTGGAGACTTAAAATATTAATTCATGTGCCACAGGAAGGTACTTGTAGGATTACATATAATAGAAAGGATCCATGCACAGGTGGACAAGCCCTTACAATGCAAGTGAGTCATGCCACCATTCTCAAGTTACTTGAAAGCTGTGATCCTGTATGCACTAGGGCTGCAAAGCTTGCCTGTCTCTCTCCTCTGGTTATTTTCCTGCTGTGTGTAGTGAATTTCCTCTAGAACTGTTTCTGCTTCTGTTGCCATTGTATATCTCTGCTCAATTCTTTGTTTGTGGATGTAAGAATCTAAAACTCCTAGAAATAAGCACAGACTCCCAATATCAGGCAACATCACCTGCTCCATTGTAATCTGCTGACATCACTGATGAATTTGACAAATGCATTGATTTATGATTTTCTGTGCCAGTAAAAGAGTATATATCATTCAAGATCAGCAGAATCCATAGCTCTGGGCCAGAGTCATTCATGTCTGTTCAGATTATGGGATCTCTTATGCTCTTGAATACCAAAACTGTTTTAGATCTAAGGCAGATAGACAATAGATGGATAGATAGATGATACAGAGATGACTAATAGATGAAAAATAGATGATAATAGTTGATGATTATAGATGAATAGATTAGATACATGATAGATCAGTAGATGATAGATAATAGGTAGATAATGTGAAAAACCTAGTGACATAATGATAAAATACAAATTAATTACCTCTAAATATGTGCAAGTAGAAAATTTTGAAAGCAGTAAGATTTTTCTCTGAAAGGAGACTTTGAAATTAAATCATTTGTGTATAGGATCATGGGGAAGAAAAGTTTCCTTCTTAAGACAAAAGCAGCTTTAAAGTCCCATAAGACTCCTTTAAAGGGCTTCTCAAACATCAAATATCTTTTGCAAAACACTTCATTGGTTTAAGTGTAAATTAATCAAAAATTCACTGATTCTATCTCTCCTAGAATACACATGGCTTTTCACATCCAGATGCAGAATGCCTTTCCTGCTCTCCACCACATCAACATGAGAAAGAGTGCTTTAGGTGCTCCAGGATGACTCACAAGTGTGCTGCTTTACCCTTGATCCTTGCAGAGCAAGAGAAGGAGGCATTTTGCCAGCAAATTTCTTTGGTTCTCCATCTGAATATGAAGAAAATGAAGGTGTTTCTTATAATTCCTTACAGAAAAAATAATTAATAATCAATGTGACCTTAGCAGACTTGGTCTCTCTAGGCAGGAGACAGAGCACTGCAGAAGAAACTAAGGTGTTAAAATAATAGACATTTGTTAGACAATTTCTATTATGACCAGGTGTCTCTGGTTTCCTCACCTAAAAAATGGGGGTACAAGTCTATTTATCTTGCAGCTTGCTGTGGGGAAATATAAGATAATAAATCAATAAAAATTTATTGAGCACTTCTTCTATGCTCCTGGGGATTCAGAGACAAATGGACAAAATACGTTTTCTTCTCTTAAAGGAAAATTCCAGGTCTGGATAGTGGTGATCTATTTTAAAGCTCTGTCTTTGGGGTGGAGTAACATATGTGAGGGTATAATAGTAATGGGGACAGCAGAGTTGGCCTGGGGGGTGTCACTTGCTTCCTGAAAGGAACATTGCTTTATAAACACCCAGGTATTAAATTATGAGCTGCTAAGAAACAGAGGTATTCTGATTAATACTCAGTGCCATTGTAATTATGATTGCTATGAGTGATACTTATTATGATCATGTAAATCACCATTAGGGATTTGATCTGTCACCCTGTGTTCACACTTAATTGTGTCACTTAATCATAGTTTTATATAATTTTGATTATTTAGCCTTTAGGTCTGCTTTCTTGACTGTTCTATTTCTGTCCAAGGCGATAGAGTATCCTGGTTTTGCTTTGTTTTACCATGCTTTTCTCTCCTTCTTCCCTTTTCCAGTGAAATCTGTTATCTCCTTGAGCTCCCCACACCAATCTGTTGGGCCATCTGATTTCTAAGTCAAATCTGGGTCTATGTCTAGTTAGCTGCTGAAAATAATGCCATAGTTACTTCTAAGCCGTATTCATTTGTTCATCATCTTAGGTAATACAATCACTAAACAGCGACTATAGATCAGGCTTTAAGCTAAGTTTAGGAATCACAGATATGAATAATAGACTCCTTGTTGCCCAAAAAAGAAATGCTCCCACCTCAAAGAGATAAAATGAGCCAAAAATGAGTGAGCATGCTTTACTGAGACAGCAGTTTCATGAGACTTTTATAGTAACAGAACAAAGAAAGTCATAAAATAACACTGTTTTTAAAAACTCTGGTATGTATAGTAGGCAGGTAAACTACATCAAAGCAGGAAAAACTCTACCCTAAGAATTGGGTGCTGTCTTATAGCATTTTTTGCCCTTTGGTTGGTGGATATTAGGGGACTGTTCATAAATTCTAAAGTATTATCTAATAAACACAAAAAATGAACACATGTACAGGAAGCCAATGAAGGGATATGAAGTGGGCTTAAGATGTCCAAAGAAAACAGAGGTCTGGACTAGTAAAATTCAAATTCAAAACACTTTTTTGTTGTTTGTTTGTTTGTTTGTTTGTTTGTTTTTTTGGTTTTCTCGAGACAGGGTTTCCTCTGTGTTGCTTTGGAGTGTATCCTGGCACTTATTCTGTATACCAGGCTGACGTCAAATCACAGAGATCCAGCCAGGCAGTGGTGGTGCACTCCTTTAATCCCAGCACTCGGGAGTCAGAGGAAGGAGGATCTCTGTGAGTTCAAGGCCAGCCTGGTCTCCAGAGCAAGTGCCAAGATAGGCTCTGAAGCTACACAGAGAAACCCTGTCTCGAAAAACCGAAAAAAAAAATCACAGAGATTCACCTGCCTCTGCCTCCCAAGTGCTGGGATCAAAAGTGTGCACCAGCATAGCCAGACTTCAAAACTCTTAATATCATTGAAGTTAGACACAACCTCTTTGCAGCCATTCTTATTTATGCTATTTTCAAGGAGTTCAGAATCAATCAGAGTAATGAAAGCAAACAAAGAAGCATAAAGAGCAGGACAGTGTATGAAACCTCATACCAGATAGTAAATTGTGACAGGAACATGTAAATGGGCAGGAAAGTAAAGACTAAGAACACACACAACTGTTGTATAACTAGTATCTGTGACTTGAAA